TGTCTGTGAGCTACAGGAATAACCGTTATCACATTCAACAGTATAACCATAGATGTATAAACCCATAGATGAAGCTCGACACTGACTTCAAAGGTTCTATGTGTGTTGTAATGGCTTTCACACTTATCTGATAATGACATGAACCAGTTGGTCATTGAGATGCCGATTGACAATCTAGACACACAATAGAAAACTGACAATCAAAAGCTTAAACATGCTAAAAATCAGAAAGAAATAAAATCAAAATATATATTTTAGAATGACTTGGTTATGAAAAAATAATGTTCTTGTAGGTAAAACAATATTACAAATTATTCTCGAAAAGAAATTAATAAATGTGGATATCTTTTTTTTTAGCCAGGTCTAATGTTTTCATCATATTTACATTTTTAGATTTTATATCTTTTATCACAGTTTAACTTTATTTAAACAATGTATGTTAACTATTATTTATAAACAAGTCTATATTGAAAATATAATTAATAGAAAAACATGGAAAAAGGTTTATAAATCTATGGTATAACTAACTTCATTATCACTGTAACTTGATATGGGAAATTCTGTAGCAGATGAATAATAGTAGTCATGGTCAACCAGAGGCAGAGCACCGGATTTTGCTTGCAGAGGGTTTTTCTGTGTTCCCATGGCTGGACGGAACTTTTACACTACAAATGTTATCATAAATTATGATATTGTAACTTTAAAATGAAGTACCTGTGGTTATTTCGGAAATTGGTCACTGATAATGGAAAGATGAAGCAGACGATCAAACATGACGTAAGATGTTGTTGTCCAAACTTCGGTTATTTCCGTGGTACAATAAAATTTAAATAAACTACACAAGTTACCAAAATTTCTAAATTCTTGTTTTTGTAATCAAATAAAAATTAATGTCGTATTTAACTTCGAATTTATTCCGTTTTGTCCCGGTTTTTTCAAGATCGCGATTAAACGAGAATCTGGCAGCCATTAAAAATATAAGGGTTAAACTAATGTCCTGACAATGTCCTGACGGATATTCCATTGCTAATTTCGTTTTCATTATTTGAAGAATTGACTTTATATTTGGAGACAAGCAAGAATACAGTATTTATTTAATAAATATAAGGAAAAAAGAGAACAAAAATATTTTTTAAAGTTAGATAACTTGACTTGATCAACTTCGAAAAATTAAAAAAAAATCGTACGAGATTTAACGAGAGTGACGAAACTTTTTAGATTGATCATGTAGAGAGAGTTATCGTTCTTTATTCCAATTCGATGCTTCTACCATAAGTGCCAGCTAAAGCTGGCATATTACTTTATTAACGTATTTGACGTTGACATCACTATTTCTTTGTTTTCTAGCTGTGTGCAGTTTACTATCCATATCCGTATGAATACCTAATCAGCAATCAAAATTCAATCAACAGTATTTAAAAGTAATTATAAATTTTAAAAAAAGTGCAGCCTAGAATTTAATTAATATAAATTTTTTCAAATATTCTGTATTTAACTTTTGATAGATATACATAAATTGGGATAAATATATATAAATTTTAATAAATATTTATTTTCGTTCATAAATGTAACATATACATATTCTAAATAAAAATAGGGCGAACGAACCCAGGGCGAACGGACTATCAGGGCGAACGAACCAGACAAATGCTCCATACTTAGAATTACACAAAAAAAGAAACCAGTCAACCATGACTACATCCTTCATGGTCACATTCTCCAAACTGAAACAGCTACAAAATATTTAGGCATAATCATCCAATCTGATCTCAAATGGAATAAACACATAAATAATATAACAGCTAATGCAAATCGACAACTTAATTTCCTAAAACGTAACCTTAAAGTTTCATCCAAACAAATTAAAGAAAGGGCATACATGTCATTAGTAAGACCTAAGCTTGAGTACAGCTCTTGCGTCTGGGACCCTCACAACAAAAACCAAATCAATCAAATTGAGATGGTCCAACGAAGAGCTGCTCGCTATACATGTAATAGATATCACAATACCAGCTCAGTCTCAAATATGCTTGATCACTTACAGTGGCCTACATTAGAATTGAGACGTATACAAACAAGACTAGTGGTATTCTATAAGATCATACATCAACACATAGCAATCTACCCTAAAGATCTTCTCGTTAAATCAGACAGTAGAACAAGATATAAACATACCAACCACTTTAAACAAATTCAAACAAATAAAGATTCTTACAAGTTCTCATTTTATCCACATACAATAGTACAATGGAACCTACTTCCTACACCAGCAATCCTTTGTACAACAGTCGAAGGCTTCAAAGAGCAGATTTCTATATCTGCTCTTTCACAAATATTCTAAAAACTGCATAACATGTACATAGTTTTACCATGAAATATACATAGGATAACAATCCACAAAAAAATTTATTAAATCACTGTTATATTTTTACTTCATTTTCTATGCACCAATGCAATGTAACGTAAAATTACTGAAAATTTATTTCTTTTAAATTGTAAATAAGCCACGCATGCAACGGCACGTAATAGTCAAAGTTGTGACTGAGTGCGGAAATATGAAGATAGATAGATAGGGCGAACGGACTATCAGGGCGAACGGACCCAGGGCGAACATGTAGTTAGGGCGAACGGACCCGATACCTATCCGTATACTGAAAAATCCTAGGATTGGATAGTAAACTGCACATTGCTAGAAAACAAAGAAATAGTGATGTCAACGTCAAATACGTTAATAAAGTAATACAAATAGACAGGAAATAATAAACAAAAATAAAAAAACATTGATTAACAAAATTATAATCTGCTAACCGAGTCCCTATGATTTCAAGATTGTGGTCAAAAATTTTCCTACGGTAAAATCGTGGTACATTAATTAAAATTTGTCATTTATCTTGAACAAGATTTATATTTTTGTATAAAAATAACTTACTTTCTTCATCATAACTATCTACTTTATTTTCAATTAAAATTTTATATTGGTCTTCTTATTTCTATCTTGTTAAGAATCTTGTGTGGTTTAGATCTGGGAACAGTATATCTAACAATATATATTTTCCTGTTTAGATCTAACTTCTTTCAATTTTTTACAATATTCTGTTTTATGTAAGATATTGCTACCAGGTACAATATTCTTGACATATGTATACCAAGAAAATGTACTGCTGTTGTCAAGAGATTTTGACAACACAAACATCCTCTTATAGAATAGGGTTAATGTTTTCGGTGTAAAGTCTTGCAAAGACTGAAATGAAATGTTATACTCGGAATCTTCCATCTTCTGAACGTGCCCACAGGCAGCTGTCTCTGAATTATTTTTTACCTGCATACTTTAATATAACACTGTTATATTAAAGTATGTAGGTAAATTTTTTTCAGAGACAACTGCCTGTGAACGTGCACCAACATATTAAGCAGACTGTTTTTTTATTCCCAATATAAATTTACAAAAGTTTAAATGAACTTTTTCAGAGGGAGTGTCTTTAAAATAGAATGGATCTAGACTTTTATAGTAAAATCATTTTCACAATTTAACCTGATACACATTATTTTCTATATAATAATAATTAGCTTGTGACAAAAAAATACAAATTACAAAATATATACAACAAATCTTCTAACAATCAGTTAATCAAGAGTCCCATGTCCTCAGTTTCTTTTGCATGTTATAAAAAGGAATCTAGACTTTGTACCTGTTGAAAACTTGTTGGATTGATTATATATGTATTATATGTATATTGTATTTTTTTTTGTTAGTGAAACTTTTAAAGTCAATATTTTAAAATGAAAATGTTAACCCCCCCCCCCCCTCCACAACATTTCTCAATACTTTTATTCTTTATAACAAAAATACATGCCGTATACAATTTCTATTATTATTGATTAATAAAATATTGCATCAGTAGTGGATCTAGAGCTTCAAGTGGGGGAAGTTGTTTGTGACTTCAGGGAACTTTATTTGGATATGCCTGTTATGGTCTCACTGACATTTATTTGCCACACATCTTCATTTAATTTAAGCACATTATTCATATCCCTTATTTACGAAGTTAGAATATATATTAACTTCAGATAAAAATACTTTCCTATGCTAACTGAAAAACACGTTCAAACTCAGGATTTAATGATTGACAATTGAGAAAAAACTGACGTCTTTCGTGCAAAAAAAATAATTTTGCTATTCACAATTTAATTCATTTTCGTCAGATATTCAAAACCTTCTTTTGTTTCAAATTTTTCATATTCCAAAGTAAATGTTTTCCTTTTTTTAAACCCCCCCCCCTAAAATCAAATAGTTTTTCCCTTATGAAGATCTTTAAAAATTAAAAAAGAATAGAAGAATGAGATCAATGGCTATTGAATTTTTCAAAATTCAAATTAACAATGAATGTCCAGTTTATCTTCATGATTTAACAACTTAAAGGAAAACTCTTACTCTTTTCGATATCTGAACACAGCTTATAAATCTACAATATGCATGAAATGTTTGCCACTGAATGTTAATCAAACAAGAAACCATCAATCTCATCATGATGTAAATTAAATTATTATGTTGTAGTATGTTAGTTTGGATACTTTTGTTTGTTGTATCATACTTTGATATTTTTATATTATATATCTGGTGAGTTAATATTTTAAATTTTAAGTACTTATTGAGTAGTTTTTAATCATGCATCAGTGGTTATGTTTATTGTAAGACTTCTTTATGGCTCAGTGAGTTTTGAAACATTGGGTATATCATCATATCTTTACTCTCTAGGTTTTACTAGTTTGTGTTATGAAAACACTCTCTTCTTTATGATAATTGGTTAATTAAGTCATATGTCGGAAATTCTTTTGTTTGGTCAGAATTTGCTTATATTTTGAACTGAATGGTGCTCATGCAGTGCTACAAATGGAAGTTTTTAACGACCTTGACTGGCTATACAGCCCTTGCACGGTCGGCTCGGTGCCCGAAGGCGTTTGGTGAGCGTTTAAATAATTTTGTGCAATCGGTCAGGAACAGGTTGAGGACGCCATTTTGGTAGGCCGCCATCTTGGTTTTGCGAGTTGTTTTGGTTTTTCTTTTGTTGACTATTTTGATGTTATTTCTTCACAACGGCTGTTTTCAGGGCCAGATTGGTCAGCTTGGCAGCCCGCTAACCTCGATGATGGAGTACTGGTAGATGAGTCTCGGACGTAGTATTAACGATGACAGGAAGCATTATCAGGACCAAAGTCGTGAGACAGTGAAATGGTGGTCCATCATCTAACACCTAGGATACAGCCCTCGGACGTCACTCGGCATACCACTCCCCCATCCATAATGGGTTTTGGAGTGTATGTTGACGCGGGAATTAGCCCTACGCGGATTATAGCCTAACGTAGTCTGTACAGCATTGGATTGGTTTCTGTCATCGAAAGTAGTAAGTCGTTGATCCATGTAACAATAAACCCTCATCGAAGATAGCGGGTAAAGGAGAGCTGACCCAGCACGTCCGTTCAGTTGTAATGACTGAGACGTGACTGTGATGTGCAAACAACAACAAATGGAAGTTTTTAACGACCTTGACTGGCTATACAGCCCTTGCACGGTCGGTTTATGATGAGGACATGCAGTGCTGTTGAGGTTTCCTTGATATAGTTTGTATTCATTTCTGGTGGACATCTTTGATTTTATCAAATAAGGTCAGTTTTTGTCTCGCCTTGACGGAGTCAAAAAGCGAGACATAGGTATGCTGTTTCCGGCGTCGGCGAAGGCGGCGGCGGCAACAATGTATTAGTTTGTGATTAGGTCTAGTTCATGGTGAACCACTAGTGGTAGTTCAATGATATTTGGTATGCAGTTGTATTAGCATTGGCACATCTCATTACCATGGAGATTATTTGGCCCCGCCCCCTCAGTCAAGGTCTATTGACTTTGAAACTTTTCATAGTTTACATGTATTAGTTTGTGATTAGGTCAATTTATGGGGAACCACTAGTGGTAGGTCAATGATATTTGGTAAGCAGTTGTATAAGCATTGGCATATCTCATTTCCATGGAGATTATTTGGCTCCGCCGCCTTAGTCATGGTCTATAGACTTTGAAAATTTTGCTAAGTTAACATGTATTAGTTTGTGATTAGGTCAGTTCAAGGGGAACCATTAGTGGTAGGCCAATGTTAATTGGTGTTCAGTTGTATAAACATCAGCACATCTCATTTCCATGCCTCGGAGAAAATTTGTCCCCGCCCCCTCAGTCATGGTCTATTGACTTTGAAACTTTTGCTTAGTTTACATGTATTAGTTTGTGATTAGATCAGTTTAAGATGAACTGTTAATGTTAAGTCAATGATATTTGGTATGCAAATTTATTGGCATTTGCATGTATCGTTTCCATGGAGATTATATAGCCCCACCCCTGATCATGGTTCTTTTACTTTGAAACTTTTACATAGTTTACAAGTTAATGTTTGTGTTTAGGTTTGTTTAAAGGGAACGACTTATAATAAGTCAATGGTATTTGGTATGCAGTTGTATTAGCATTGGCACATCTCATTCCATGGAGATTGTTTTGCCATGTACCTTCAGTCATGGTTCATCGACTTTGAATATTTGCATAACTTACATGTTAAAGTATTGCTATTTTAATTTCAACATTTGCATTATCAAAATTACAAAAAGGCGAGACATAACTCTGTGATAACAGTTTATTGATATTGTCATCTAAACTGAACAGAGTTATTGTTCTTTGTTTTGATTATTTGTATTTGTATTGCAGGGTCATGATCAAAATTATTGACCTGAGGTGTTTAATTTTCATTATACTACCAAAACTACGTAGTTTTATATAAATATTTAAAAAAAATATGCCTATTTGTTAATCCTATTTCATGTTTTTATGTTTTGCAGGAAATGATTACTAGCAACTGAATCAAATGAAGAATCTTCAGAGTTAAAGGCATAGAAAGGAAACATGAAGATAGCCAATGCATGACATAAGGAGAAGCAGTTATGAATTTTGAAATTGGTATAAAGGAGATAAAGCACAGTTTAAAGGTAGGAGACTTGATTGGTTGATTTTTATCAATTGTCATAAATTAAAGAGATGTGGTATGATTACCAATGAGACATTTATCCAAAGAATGCATATTTAAGCATCTATAGGTTACTATACGGCTTTCAGCCCAACCCATACCATATAGTCAGCTATACAGCTGCCTGGACATTGCTTGTTTACTGTACTGTGGCAAATGTTTCGTATATTTTATACATTTACTAATATTCAAGATGATATAAAATAAAATAATAGGTCCTCAAGTAATTTCTGCAAAAGTTGGTGATGGCCGTAAAATTTGCTGTGCAAAAAAACATCTGCAGATTCTTCATATAAAGAGTTGTTAACACAGGAGACTATTCAAGTAGAAATAGAAACATTTTTCATTAGCGATTTCCTTCAAAATCTTATCAGATCAGACTTTTTCTGTTAAAACATATTGGTATGCAATCCTATTAAAATTTGCTCATCTCATTTCTATGGAGATTATATGGTCCTGTACCCTCATCATGGTTCATTGACTTTGAAACATTTAACGTATATGTTAAAGTTTGTGTTTTGTTCAGTTTAAAAGGAAACCGCTTATAATAAGTCAATGGTATTTGGCATTAAGTTGTATTAGCATTGTCATTTCTTGTCTCCACGGAAATTAAATGGCATGGCGTCTCAATCTTGGTTCATTGGTTTTGGATTGTTTGCATTGTCATATACAAAGGTTTTTGTCGAGCCTGCAACTTTTGTTGCAGAGAGCTCGACATAGGGATAGTGATCCGGTGGCGGCGGCGTTAGCTAACTTCTTAAAAGCTTTATACTTTAGAAGGTGAAAGACCTGGATGCTTCATACTTTGTATATAGATGCCTCATGTTACGAAGTTTCCGTCTGTCACATGTCCATTGTCCTTGACCTCATTTTCATGGTTTGGTGACTTTTGAAAAAAAATATTATTTCTCTCTTATTATCAGAAATAGAATAACTATATTTGTAAAGTGTGTAACTTGCAAGGTCCTCATGCTTGTCAGAAATTTTTTTCTTGACGTCAACCTCATTTCATGGATCAGTGGATTAGTTTTCGTGGTAAAGTCCATAGCTCAGATACTAGATGAGTAATAGGTTGTACTCTATTTGGTTTATGGAATGATTGTAAGGTATACATGTCTGTCTGGCAGGGTTCATATGACCATGTTCATTGTTCATTGGTTAATGATAAGTATTTGTTATTTTGTCAGTTTATCAGATAATACAAATAATAAGTTGTAATATATTTGGTGTATGGAATGATTGTAAGGTGTACATGTCTGTCTAGCAGGGTTCATATGACCTTGACCTCATGTCCGTAGTTCATTGGTCAATATTGAGATTTTGTGGTTTTATCTGTTTCTCAGGTACTATTGATGATAGGACCACTATATTTGGTGCATGTAATGATTGTAAGGCATACATGTCTGTCTGGCATTGTTCATCTTACCGTGACCTTATTTTCATATAACATTGATAAGTTTATGTGATACGTGTAGTAAAAGCTTTATATGACTTTCAACATAAATTCAATGATAAGTAACACAGGCAAAACATTTCATCATATGCACTCTTGTATTGGTTTGGTCAGATATTATAAACAATAGGTCAATTATCTTTGGTGTATGGAATGATTGTAAGGTGTACATGTCATTTCCAGCGAGATTATTTGGCCCTGTACCTTCAGTCATGGTTCATTGACTTTGAGTATTTTGCATAACTTACATGTTAAAGTATTGCTATTTTAATTTCAACATTTGCATTTTACTATCAAAATAATGAAAAGGCGAGACATATCTCTTGTTTAACAGTTCATGTCTTTATAGTTTCTATGTACATAGATATAGGAAGATGTGGTATGAGTGCCAATGAGACAACTCTCCATCCAAGTAACAATTTATAAAAGTAAACCATTATAGGTCAAGGTACAGCCTTCAACACGGAGCATTGGCTCACACCGAACAGCAAGCTATAAAGGGCCCCAAAAATTACTAGTGTAAAACCATTCAAACGGGAAAACCAACGGTCTAATCTATATAAAAACGAGAAACGAGAAACACGTATGAACTACATAAACAGACGACAACTACTGTACATCAGATTCCTGACTTAGGACAGGTGCAAACATTTGCAGCGGGATTAAACATTTTAATGGTACCAAACCTTCTCCCTTTTCTGAAACAATAGTATAACATCACAACATAGAAAGACACACTATAAACTATCAATTGGAAGGCTTAACTCAATCAAAAAACGTAAATTAACACACAATGAACGAATAAATTTGATCTGTGATACCTGAATGCAAATACATAGTTAATAAAAATTATAAGGGATAAATAATTAAGGTCAAAAGTAAATAAACAGGTTTAAACAAAGTTAAAGTATGATACATGTTTACCCTATGACCTCCCCTTTATTCCCCTTTTGCATTTAACTAAAATTAAAATTTGTGTATTTTGCAATTATTCAACAATCAGTTGTCATTTAATAAAGTTTCATGTTCATTTACCATTTCAATTTTTTTCAAACATTTTTTGATTTAAGGCTGATTAAACTCCAACAAGCAGCATACTTTAGTATTATAAATGTTGTTTTTACTTTTCAGTATGTTGAGAAAAGATCATAACAAGCTTTTGGTATGTTGAGAAAAGTTCAGAACAAGCTATTTTGTTTGAAGAGGAATCACAGTGGTTAAGACTTATCTTTGAATAAAGTGAATTGTATTAGAAGTAAAGCCTTAACAGTCACGAGACAATAATTAATATTTAATTGTTATTTCAAAGACTAACATGACTAGCATTTGTATGACTTGAATGTCATATTTTTCATATGAAGACATACAAGGCAAAAAATTGGATGTGACAAAAAATTGTTTTCATTGAAAGACTTGAAGACCTTGTACTGTCTTATGTAGAACTCAGGAGAATTTGTTTAAGACAATAAATTCTGTGTATGAAATGAAGAATGTGTGTTCATTAAATGAATTATAAAAATATGTTTTCTATCTTGAATTTATAAAAACAGCATAAAAGATTGACTTTCTTTCTTTTTTTCATGACTCTTTTATTACAGAATTAATTCTTATATTCTTATTCTTGATAGATGTGCTTCGAGAAATTCCATACAAGGTGCCTTTTGTTTATTTTTTAGTCTGAAAGTATAATTCAAAGGGTTAACACAGAAAACTACAGTTAACTCTCAGTCATATAAAGATAAGGAGATGTGGTAAGATTGTTAATGAGACAACTGTCCCTAAAGCCCAAAGATAAAAAGATAATGAATAAATTATAGCTTATCATGGATTTCAATACAAAAGATATTATAGACATATAACATTCGAATACCATAAGGTACTATTAGTTATAATCGTTTATTGTTAAAGACTGCATTATGACATTTTTGAATCTGGTTTTACTCTATTGGTAAGTTACTGTCACACTGTGTACACAAAAGCCACATCTTCAATCCTTATAACCTTCAAGAATATCAAACCTAGACTTACTTAGTAAATTTGAACTTTTATAGATAAAACTATCATTTCTTACAACAGGAAACTTAGAATCAAGACTTTTATGTTATTATTGCAGTAGATTCTCTATTAGTTATTTTCAGTGACTGACATGAAAAACCTGCTAACGTTAAATATTAGTAAGCATTGGATATTTGTATACACGTATGGGAAGTTAAGCCGCTCTCTGTGTTTAGGGTTCACAGATGCTATACCTCTGCTCTGGGTATAGTAACGTCCCCTACTATACGTACCAAGTATCCACGTTTATTGGTACAAACTGAGAGAGAGGTGGTTCAGTTTGGCTGAGAGTGAGGCGGCTCAGTCAAAAATCTTTTGGGGATATTTTATCTACCGTACCAAGTATCTGCTATTCCTGGTACAGACTTGAGAGTGAGATGGCTCAGTCAGCATGTGAAGCTCTGTAACATGCTTTTAACGGGGAAAGGGCATTTTAATTGTTTTTATCAAATTTTAACTGGGGATGTTTTACTGTTTTTATCAAATTTTAACTGGGGATGTTTTACTGTTTTTATCAAATTTTAACCGGGGTGGGTTGGGGGAGTTTTACTGTTTTAATCAAATTTCAATTGGGGATATTTTACTGTATTTATCAAATTTTAATTGGGGAAATTTTACAGTTTTTATCAAATTTTAACTAGGGATGTTTTACTGTTTTTATCAAATTTTAACCCGTGGGAGTTTTACTGCTTTTATCAAATTTTAACCGGATGTTTTATTGTTTTATCAAATTTTAAGAGGTGCAATTTTACGGTTTTTACCAAATTTTAATTGGGGATGTTTTACTGTTTTTATCCAATTTTAATAGGGGATGTTTTATTGCTTTTATCAAATTTTAACGGGATGTTTTACTGCTTTTATCCAATTTTAACTCGGGATGTTTTACTGCTTTTATCAAATTTTAACCCGTGGGAGTTTTACTGCTTTTATCAAATTTTAACGGGATGTTTTACTGTTTTTATCCAATTTTAACTCGGGATGTTTTATCAAATTTTAATTGGGGATGTTTTACTGTTTTTATCAAATTTTATCGGGGAATTTTACTGTTTTTATCCAATTTTAACGGGATGTTTTACTGTTTTTATCCAATTTTAACGGGATGTTTTACTGCTTTTATCCAATTTTAACAGGATGTTTTACTGTTTTTATCAAATTTTAAGAGGTGCAATTTTACGGTTTTTACCAAATTTTATTTGGGGATGTTTTACTGTTTTATCCAATTTTAATTGGGGATGTTTTACTGCTTTTATCAAATTTTAACGGGATGTTTTACTGCTTTTATCAAATTTTAACGGGATGATTTACTGCTTTTATCAAATTTTAACCCGTGGGAGTTTTACTGCTTTTATCAAATTTTAACGGGATGTTTTACTGTTTTTGTCCAATTTTAACTCGGGATGTTTTATCAAATTTTAATTGGGGATGTTTTACTGTTTTTATCAAATTCTATCGGAGAATTTTACTGTTTTTACCTAATTTTATCGGGGAATTTTACTGTTTTTATCTAATTTTAACGGGATGTTTTACTGCTTTTATCCAATTTTTACTGGGGATGTATTAACTGCTTTTATCAAATTTTAATTGGTGAAGTTTTTATCAAATTTAAACGGGGAGTTTTACTGTTTTTATCAAATTTTAACTCGGGATATTTTTTCTGTTTTTATAAAATTTGAATTGGGGATGTTTTACTGCTCATCAAATTTTAATTGGGGATGTTTTACTGTTTTTATCAAATTTTAATTGAGGATGTTTTAATGCTTTTATTCAATTTTAACGGGATGTTTTACTGCTTTTATCCAATTTTAACTCGGGGTGTTTAACTGTTTTTATCCAATTTTAAGGTGAAATTTTACTGTTTTTACCAAATTTTAATTGGGGATGTTTTAATGTTTTATCCAATTTTAATTGGGGATGTTTTACTGCTTTTATCAAATTTTAACGGGATGTTTTACTGCTTTTATCCAATTTTAACTCGGGACTTTTTACTGCTTTTATCAAATTTGAACCCGTGGGAGTTTTACTGCTTTTTATCAAATTTTAACGGAATGTTTTATTGTTTTTATCCAATTTTAATTGGGGATGTTTTACTGTTTTATCCAATTTTAATTGGGGATGTTTTACTGCTTTATCCAATTTTAATTGGGGATGTTTTACTGCTTTTATCAAATTTTAACGGGATGTTTTACTGCTTTTATCCAATTTTAACTCAGGATTTTTTACTGCTTTTATCAAATTTTAACCCTCGGGAGTTTTACTGCTTTTATCAAATTTTAATGGGAAGTTTTATTGTTTTTATCCAATATTAACTCGGGATGTTTTATATGTTTTATCAAATTTTAATTGGGGATGTTTTACTGTTTTTATCAAATTTTATCGGGGAATTTTACTGTTTTTATCTTATTTTAACGGGATGTTTTACTGCTTTTATCCAATTTTTACTGGGGATGTATTAACTGCTTTTATCAAATTTTAATTGGTGAAGTTTTTATCAAATTTAAACGGGGAGTTTTACTGTTTTTATCAAATTTTAACTCGGGATATTTTTTCTGTTTTTATAAAATTTGAATTGGGGATGTTTTACTGCTCATCAAATTTTAATTAAGGATGTTTTACTGTTTTTATCAAATTTTAATTGAGGATGTTTTAATGCTTTTATTCAATTTTAACGGGATGTTTTACTGCTTTTATCCAATTTTAACTCGGGGTGTTTAACTGTTTTTATCAAATTTTAAGGTGAAATTTTACTGTTTTTACCAAATTTTAATTGGGGATGTTTTAATGTTTTATCCAATTTTAATTGGGGATGTTTTACTGCTTTTATCAAATTTTAACGGGATGTTTTACTGCTTTTATCCAATTTGAACTCGGGATTTTTTACTGCTTTTATCAAATTTGAACCCGTGGGAGTTTTACTGCTTTTATCAAATTTTAACGGAATGTTTTATTGTTTTTATCCAATTTTAATTGGGGATGTTTTACTGTTTTATCCAATTTAAATTGGGGATGTTTTACTGCTTTATCCAATTTTAATTGGGGATGTTTTACTGCTTTTATCAAATTTCAACGGGATGTTTTACTGCTTTTATCCAATTTTAACTCAGGATTTTTTACTGCTTTTATCAAATTTTAACCCTCGGGAGTTTTACTGCTTTTATCAAATTTTAATGGGAAGTTTTATTGTTTTTATCCAATATTAACTCGGGATGTTTTATATGTTTTATCAAATTTTAATTGGGAATGTTTTACTGTTTTTATCAAATTTTATCGGGAATTTTACTGTTTTTATCCAATTTAACGGGATGTTTTACTGCTTTTACCCAATATTAACTGGGGATGTTTTACTGTTTTTATCAAATTTTAATGGGGGGGGGGGGTGTTTTATTGTTCCCAATATTTTACCGTTTTTATCAAATTTTAACTCGGGATGTTTTACTGTTTTTATCAAATTTTAACCAGGGGAAATTTTACTGCTTTTATCCAATTTTAAGTGGGAATGTTTTACTGTTTTAATCAAATTTTAAGTGGTGAAATTTTACTGTTTTTACCAAATTTTAATTGGGGATGTTTTACTGTTTTTATCAAATTTTAACCGGGGAAGTTTTACTGTTTTTTATCAAATTGTAACCCGTATGCGTTTTTCTGCTTTTATCAAATTAATGGGAAATTTTACTGTTTTTATCAAATTTTAACTGGGGATGTTTTACTGTTTTTATCAAATTTTAACCGGGAGAGTTTTACTGTTTTTATCAAATTTTAACCCCTAGGCGTTTTTCTGCTTTTATCAAATTAATGGGAAATTTTACCGTTTTTTATAACTCGAATAATTCAGCGCCCTCTATCCACTACTTTTCTGGAGTGATCGTAATATAACGACTGGATTATTCGGGTTACCGTTTTTATCAAATTTTAATTGGGGATGTTTTACTGTCATTATCCAATTTTAACTGGATGGAGTTTTAATGTTTATTAACTGGGGATGTTTTAATTTTTAACAAATTTTAATGGGAAATTTTACTGTTTTTATCAAATTTTATCTGTTTGGAATTTTACTGTTTTTATCAAATTTTAACCGGGTGGCGTTTTACTGTTTTTATCAAATTTTAACCGGGTGGAGTTTTACTGTTTTTATCAAATTTTAACCGGGTGGAGTTTTACTGTTTTTATCCAAATTTTAATAGAGGATATTTTATTGTTTTTATCCAAATTTTAATTGGGGGGTGTTTAACTGTTTTATTAAAATTTCAAATGGGTAATTTTATTGTTTTAATCATAATGTTTTGCTAGTTTTATATTTTACATTTTTTTACAGAATTTTAATTGGAAGATTTTATTGTTTTATCAAAATTTTAATTTCTATAAACTTGGCTGTTTAAGCCATGCCAAAGTCAAATCAGAGACTTTACAACTGGTACTCCGAAAGGAAGAGGCAGGTGTCTTACTGCGGGCATTTGTCTTGGTGAACTAGCACCTTAAAGTCCAGATAACCCACAGGCCAGCTGGCTAGT